AGCCTTATTCTTTAGCCACCCTAAATCAGCCACCTTGGTCATACAAAGCTACGGTCAGACGTCAAATTATGACAAAGCCATATAAAACAATGCAGCCTACTGTGATGTGCCACGTCTCTTTATTCCCAGGAAGGTTCAATGACTCACTATTACTACGGTGCTCTGTTTATTTAGGAAGTTCAAGGGCCTACAGGCTTCTGCTTTCATCACTATACCAAAAGAGTTCAAGGTAACTTTGCTGTACTCTTTTCCCAAATTATTTTATTTCAGAAAATTAAATAAAAAGTAAAGTCAAGGAAAAAGACATGTATTAAATGCACTGTCATGTAACTGCTGCATAAACTATTCATTCAAAACAAAAGTCACACTGGCATTTGTGCTAAAAAGTCGGCCTCACGGGCTTTAAAAGCACAAAGTCTGTTTCCATGTCTTGAGGGGAATTCTCCCTCCTGGGGTGAGCAAGCATTCTTGTGTTTTGGCCTTAGGCGAAGGCTTTACGTTCACTTTGAAGAAGATTTGCAAGCAGCCACCTTGACCGTGCTGGTTTCCATTGGGGCTGTTTTAGGAGTGTTACAGTTTAAAATATAAGCGCTAGTTGCAGCCGTAATCCTGACGAATGGGCAGTGGAGATGCCATACGCTGCAGCACAGACAGAACCACAGCCACGTAACATTAAGTGAATATCAGCACACACATTGTATTCGACGTGAGGGAATGGCAACGTGTGCACCGCCTCAACAAGCTGGCTGTGCAAATGAATGAGGACTAGGTAAACTACCCTCAGTGTGGACACAGTGGTGACATCCTGGTTCAGAATTATGTAATATCCTCCCTGTTGATGAGGTGACATACTGCCATCTAATGTCTGTAATAAAGAAGCATTCAATATTTAGATGTGACTCTTGTCCACACCCATTATTTCAATCGCTCTAAGTGAACGACATCTGGTTTTAATACAGGGGATTGACTGAAAATGATGTTGGTGTGGCCAGGACTCACCTCTTAGCACAACACATACTGCATTATTGTTCAGGAAGGTAGCTAGCTAACTAACTTGATTTAAAATGAATTCAGTGGATTTAAATGACCCGAAGACACGTCCCTCTCTCGTTATTCAGTCACTGCAGCACAAAGGCACCTTTAGTAAGCTCGAGGTTCAGTTTGCTACCATGTTGACCCACATAACTGTTTCAGAAGTCAAGCTTAGTTTCAGCTGCTTGTGGCAAGCACCCGAAAGCAGCACCCGGGCCAAAGAGCACTTATTTATGTATTATTTATTGTTTTAACTTTGGTGTCTTTAGCGAGTGAACTCGGTCATCTGCTGTTAACTTTAGCTGTAAACTTATGCTAACGTTAGTATCAGCTAGCCCCCGCCGACGAGCCTGTGAGGAAACCCCGCTGCTGACACCATCACACTGACACCAGCCTACTGTAATGGTGCTGGTAAGTTAGTTGGGACACGTTGCCCAAACTCATCCTCACATACTGAGTGCTTTCGCGGTGGCGTCGCAGTTCAGTTAGCTCACGTTAGCTGGTTAACCCCACCTCTCGTCGTTAGCCCAAGTTATCGTCGTTTTATTGCACTGTTGGTCGTTTCCGTTTAATGACAATTACCTTGAGTTGTCCAAAGCAGCTGTTCTCATCTCATGCTCAACGGGTCGGTGGTTTCTTCTCCCTTCTGCTTTGCGTTTCCAGCATCTGGGTGCTCACACGAGGGGGGAGAACGAGGCCGGATGTCAAGTGGTTTGCACCTTCACAATAAAATCCCCCCAAAATGGAATAAAATGGGGAGACAAATAGGACACAAGAAATCATCTTAAAATAGGGAAGGATTTAAAAATATAGAGCTAAAATATAACTTACACCCAGAAGAAAAAAATCAAGCAAGGCTGGGTTAACTGTCTTGGCAAAAAGTTAATTGATCTCTGCCTGTCTAATGTGTAAATTATTTCTGGAAAACTACCATGCACCGGGTTTACGGTGTGGTAATTTTACTAAACACAAATTAATTTAGGAATATGCACAATATGAGCATTAGCTTAAATAATAGTTCTCCTAAAACTAGATTTTGGCTCAGGGACTTTGTTTACGACAGAACCTCAGTATCAGGTAATAAATCAGGACACACCCGATGGTTCACCACATGTCAGCTGATAAACGGCTTTACTGGTACACATTGAACCTGTTGCTTTTTGGTCTAGGGTTTATTGATGTATTTGTACTTAACTTGCCTATCTACAACATGCTGCTTACATGTCAATGCACCGATAATAAAAAAATAATAAAACAATATTATATATAATAATATAACACTGAAAGGGGCCAATCTGCACAACACGTACGTTTAGATACTCTAATCCTGCTAATACATATGATCTCTTCAGTAAAAGTTTAAATATAAGGCATATAGTTAAAAAGTAGTAATTAGTACTGTAGTATTTCTACTTTTACTTATAGTTAGTGTAGCATATGAATATTTCTTACATTTGTGCCTCCAAGCTAATGAAAATCAGTCTCTTAGTGCATGCATAGACTTAAACACCATGGAGCTCTAGGATTTTTGTCTTTAAGACTTTTAATTGAGGATGAGTGAGATCAGCAAACTCTTTTCAAGTTGTCTTCATTTTTGTCTTTGAATCTTTTTTCATGCATTTTGGCAGTGTATGTTACATACCATGGGAAACTGTGGATAAAGCAGTAGGACTCACATAAATAGAATTTCCCTGTGTTTGTTACATCAGCATACATGAATAGTGTAAATAAGTAATTATAATGATCCCTTCTTGAGATAATTATGCATTTAAAGTATGGCAGGTTCCGTCAGGCATTTATTTTCTTGAAACCCGGGCGGAAGTGGAATTGTTCTATCTCGGTAAGTTTTATTTCGCACATAGGACTCCGGAAACTTGGCAACCGGGCAACAACCAACAACACTGAAAACAATGGAAATATATATATATATATAACCCCATTTTATATATATATATTACACATTTGTTCAGAGCACAGTTGAGTCAAACATGTTGTATTATAACCAGATGACCTCAGTTAAGTTAGATGTGTTTTAATAAAGAGTAAATCATCCATGTACAGTCTGAACATATGAACCATGTGAGTTGGATGTATTGGGTGTAAAAACAATCCTCCCAGCAGGTTACACTGATTTGAATATAAACAAAAGCCATTGAAGTACCCATTCCTCTTTATTGGCACGAACCCAGTCTGCCACAGAGTAACACTTCCAGATTAAAAGAGTGTTTCTCAGCAGCACCAGTGCAGAGCAGTAAATACACAGCAGTGATGGAAGTGGCAGCATTTTGTCTCAGCTGCAGCCCCCATAGCGGCTGATGCTATTTTATAACTGTGCTGCATTGCAGGGCTATTTACCCCACAACGATGGCTGCGGTTGCATAAGAACTGACGGCATCATGGTGGTTTGGAAGATCCCTCAGGGGGGAGATGGGTGGAGGAGACTTTGGTGGGATTTGCTTGAAGAAAAAAGCCAGAGTTAAGAATGAATGAAAAAAGTTTGTAGAAGGATTAAGGGCTGAGGAGTGAAGCAGATACTACAAGAAAAGAGAGGCAGAGCGTTGACAGATTGATTGCTGGGTGGGTGTGTGTGTGTGGAGGTTAAGCAGACTGGGGGCGGTTGGGTGGGGGTGGCCTCAGGGATGAGTCACAGTAAAGGAGAGAGAGAAGGAGAGAGAGAGGGAAAGAGAGAGAGAGAGAGAGAGAGAGAGCGAGAGAGAGAGAGACGCATTAGGACGTGCACAGAGACTGAAATGCACCTACTTTATCTCCGCTAT